ATGAATTGGGAAGGGGTTACTGTACATTGATGAGCTGGAAGGCACAGTAACATCTTTGTTTTTCTTACAGTTCAAAACAAACCTGGCTTCTTTGCGTTCTGCATTCTAGACACACTCACTTTGGTAGCCAAGTGAAAGCAAAGACTGTGGTGTCATCATTATTTTTATTTTTTATTTTTTTAAAAAAGCATTTAACAATAATAAAACAGAAGGCCTGTGAGTGGCTTTTATGTATCTTAGATTTATAAAAGGCATGCAATTGTGAAGGACCAACTCAATATACATTTATCAAAAGCCTAAATTGAATGGAATAAAGGCACTTTGTCTAAAATCCATGATAATGCATTGTTTTGGAGAGGGGCTGTACGGTGTGTGTGTGTGTGTGTGCTTTACATGTAGATGGTGAATGCTTTTCAATTCCCAGCTCCTCTAGATGGGGCTGGGAAAGGTTTTTGCCTGAAAACCTGGCTAATTGCTGCCTATCAGTGTTCAATAGTATTGCGGAATCTTTTTCCTTCTAGATGTAGATGAACTATTGGCCAGGATGGGTAGACCTGACAAGAAATGGAGGGCCTTTTTGTTATAGTGTTGACAATACGGTGCTAGATGGACTAAGGGTCTGACTCAATATAAAACAGCAAAGAATTTTTGGAGGAACAAAAAAGAAAACAAATAAAGGGTGGGAACATATAGAACTTCAAAAATGGCATTGGGGACAAGTTGTGAGATACCTCTGGCTGAAATTCCAAGGAGTTTCTAACAATCTGAGTAGACAATATTGAGGTACATAAATAAATAGGTTTGTCTATTATAATTTACTTGGGCCTAACCTGTAATGCAGAAATAATGCAGTTTGACACCACTTTAACTGCCATGGCTCAATGATTCGGAATCCTGGGATTTACAGTTTTGCAAGATATTTAGGCTTCTCTATCAGAGAGTTCTGGGTCCACAACAATCTACGAATCCCAGGATTCCATAGAGCCATGGAGTCCATGGAGCCATGGCAGTTAAAGCAGTG